AGCAGCTTGATCAATCAGATGCTGTAGTGGCAAGCGCTCTTTGGGATTATGATGCACCTGTATGAATATCGGCAGCAGACTTATATCTTCAGCTACATTCTAGTAAAAAAAAAAAGGTTCCAACAGAAATTCCCACTAAGGAATAAGTTAAGGAATTAAGAAGCAACAAAAATATGATTCTAGTATCGCTGTCCAGTTTTCTCTTCTTTCAAATTTGAAAGTTAAAAGTATGTGCAGTTATCAGTGTAAATTTATTTTGTAGACCTTATTCCAGAGATAAAAAAAAACTCAGTGTTTGAACAACGCAAAACAGATAGCAACTCAAGCCTGGATATTGACGATTTGAAAACACTCCGGATCATTGGTTGGCTCAATGTTAATGTATTTGTCATTAATGGACTGATCGATTTGAGCTGCCAAACAGTAAGCCTGATTTGTCGCATAACTGATCATTGACACAAAGCCACCTAAGGCACCTGTAAATAAATCATTCGCTCTGAATTCGAAGATTTTCCAACTTTTTAAATCATTAGAAGAAAGAAATTTGAATAGCAAATTTAAAAAGAGTGTATTTGCAATAAACTTATGATTTCGGCATCTTTACAGTTATTGTAAAGCAATGATTGGAAAAATCACGGTGTGTGATGTGGATTGTATGAATTTTAGATTTTAACATTTGGAAGGAAATGCCAAGTTAACCATCAGAATTTCGAATAATTGCGGATTTTGATTCTGGAACATTGTCCATTTCATTCAACATTTTGGTATCATCTGACACTGTTCGGCTCCGAAGAGAGTTCCAACCCATGGTGGCTATTTTATCACACTGAAAATTTAGCTTTGGTCAGTAATTTCAATAAAATTGTTTCTCTCTTAGTAGCACCGGAAAAATTGTTATCCAGAACTTGATTCACACTGTTTTTATTCATTTTGCAGTGCCGTTTTACTGAGTATCTTCTCCATCCTTTTATGACTCTTTTCTCTCCGACTTCCAAAAAAAGAAAAATAAAAACTTTTCAGTGTGTGAAAAATATACTACGACGTTTTGGAATGTGAATAAGATTAGGCATGGCAAACTGCGTCACTCACCCAGTGGACATTCATAGTGATTCACATTAAAGGGGAATTGATTTTGAAGCCAAAAATTCTTCAATAAATTAAAATCAAAGTCCTAACCAAACATTATCAGCGCTATCGGCTACCATTTTATGAATGATAGAGGCATTTTTAAGCGCTTATTTTACTCTTCAAAATATCACGATGCAAATTCAAAGACAGTGGAAAATGTGTACAGATGACGAAGCATTGGACAGTCAACAGAAAATGGAATTCCTATCAGTCAGGTAGATTGAAAAGTCGAGGTACGTTCCTTTACCAGAGTCTGTTTCAGTCTAAACAATGGCAACCAACCAGGATGTTGGATGTAATGTGTTAATTTTAAAAGTATTTATAAGATCACTGTGAAATATCGTTAAAGTAACATAAATGACACGCGGAACTATCAGGGGAAAGCGGTTTGGGGAGTTGATGGCCTTTTGTGACTTTGTGGGTAGAAATTTTGAATAAATCAAAAGTGACGATGATAGCAGCAGAGAGCGATGACAAGAAAAGCGAGAAAGATACCGCGGGGTAGTGCTCTTGAATATTGGTGTGTGGGGTAGGCGGGGGTGGATACCTGAAATTAAAACAAGTTGTGAATTGTTAAAATAGTGACTTCGAAGTCGATTGGGTTGTTTTGTAATTTCGCATTACCATCACCGCAGATGCCACCACTGCTGTCATTGCTCTGTGCGGTTTGTTTGCTGGGGCTGTGTACGGCTGGTATTTATTTGCGACGACGGAACAATCATCGGAAATGTCACCTCAGCTGGCAATGATGACAACTTGACAAAATTTTTGAAAATGGCGGTTGCCGTCGAACATAACTAACTATTCAGCCATACATATTGTACATAAACGAAAGAAACACATACATATATATACATACATACATACGTACATACATACATACATACACACATACATACATACATACATACATACATACATACATACATATATACATATATACATATATACACATATACATACACATATACATGCATAACACATACATATACAAATATATATATATATATTAGTATTAGTCATCATGAGAAATTACCAATCCCGATAGCCAGCTAAAGATGAGATAGGATAAGATGATCTAGTGGTATCCATAGATTGATTTGTCATGGGATGTGTCACACTTGTTAAACAGTCCTGAGAAATTGCTATTTCATCACTGTGAATATCGCCATTCATCATTATCATCACGGATAGGAAGAACCGGTTACCATTTCATTTTGCTCATATCATGCAAATCGTAATATAAATGCAAAACTCGAGGCACGTTGTCAAACGCTGCTATTCTGCTTGTTCCTTAATACATAACAACTGCTCCAAAATTTTCAATTTTTGAGTCATGATGTTTCGGATTAATCGTGAATGGCAAGAATAAGGTAAGCATTCAGGAATAGACTTCTAATGATTCAGGATTTTGAAATCTCAGAGGAATATCACATCTTTATCAGCTTTTCTATGTAATTGATGCTTGCTAAAATTCATTCGTCAGATATTTCTATATAACTTTCATTACTAAATGAGTTCTCAAGAAGAAGAAAAGGTATAATCTAAGAAACCTTTTTTACAAATCACTATTTATAAGTTGTTTGACTTAATGAATCAAAGAGATAATGGTTGCTTTACAACAAGGTGATGGTTGATGAATTATTGGTGAGAAAAAATACTCCTGAACACATTCACTTCTACCTTAATGAGTGATATCTCCTTCCTCAACCTATCTGTTCTCTTGCGAAATGAGAAGAAAAAGTGTTTCGAAGCTCTGTCTATCCCAGACTTCTTTTTTCTTTATTCTAAAATTGATTCCGTTTCAATTTACAGGGCTTTTTCTTACATTATCCCGTTCTACGAGACCAGTCATATCCAGTTTTATTCATCCCTATCAAGAACCAGTTACACTAATGTTTTGCGCGATCCAGTACCAAAATCACCGTTCAATTTACAAATAAACAGCAATGTTATCTATTATTCATAGAAATGTTTGCAAGCCCCACAACTCGAGACTCAAATATCCTGGGGTTTCAAGCAGGAATTTCTGAAACTTCTAGTCCGAATTAATACCACACTAGTATATGTCCATGTCATCGAACTGTATCGGAAACCGATGCGTTGCGTATTTAGGAATTATTCTATCTATATCTACAAGAATGTTTCAAAATTTCGTAACAAGTTTAAAATCGGTGTCACATGGCACGACATGCTTTGGTGGTAAAAAAGTCCCACTGGGATTTTAATAAGGTGAAAAGACACAAGATTTATATAGCTATCATATATTTTTAAGCAGTATCTCCGTTTGTGAATTTTAATTAGTGATCACCTATTAAGTTGTACCCAGCTCAGTATGTGATTAGTGTTTATAAATTATCACAGGTATTACAGCTTAAAAGCACCTTAACTGAGCAGCCAGTCCCTCTGGAAATTCAAATACTGCTGCAATCACAATTCCTTCCGTGAAACAAATGCCAAGGCCTTCATAAATATAAGGGTTGAAAAAACACTTCATATCCAAATCGGCATTTCTTAATAAGCGGTTAGTTAGTGATGGCACTTTCTTTTCCCTATCAAATATCTTGGAGTAATTGAAGTTGAAAAGTTAAGAAGTGAACCCGTCTATCGCTTTTATTGGGTCTTCTTACGAATAAGTGTCGGTCAACGGCCTTTAAAATGCCACTCTCTTGTTCTTCCGACAAAATGACATGACACTTCGAATCGCTGTAACATTGTGAATCTAAAAGGATGTCAGTCCCATTAAACCAATCTTCACTACCACCTAACTTTGAGCATAATATCCACTGCTCGTACTTTTTTTCGGTAAATAAGGACAAATGATTGTTTCGGAAATAACTGGAGATTAAATGGAGTCCCGACACATTAAAATTCCCTTCTGTTAAAAGGGTCAAACATTTTCATCGGATTTATTTCCAAATAGAACAAGCTCTCACGCAACAATTGGCGTCTGTTCGTACTTAAGTCTTCAAAACTGAACTGAATAGAGAAGAGTAAATAGCGGTCACAGAATATCAACGATCACACGTTGTGGCTTCCCATAACATCGACCCAATTTAACAAGAATTAAAAGAACTCAACAGAGTACTGTTGAAAAGTTGTATGGCGGTCAAGGTAGACGAATGCAGACCAAATATTAAACAACAGCCGAAAAGCTAGAATGCGCCAATATATGCCCGATCATTCTCGAAACGAACTGCATGGTAAGTAAGATCTGCATAAATTTTATTTAAAAAATGACAAAACAAATATAATACGATGAACGAATTATTACCATCATAAAAACAACACAACAAAGAATTCATACAAAATGTAAATCCGCCAATCAGCGCTAAAAAAGAAAATGAAACAGGAACGAAGTACAAAAAATTCTTGCACCTAGAGATGTTTTGAAAATTAAATTCGACACTATAAGGAATGCAGGCGGTCTCATGAAAATATGATACTAACTGACACTAAGTTATAGTCTCAAACCTTTAAAAAAAACCTGTAGCAAAACAGTAAAATTCCAAGCATCAGTATTTTCGTCTTACATCATCAGGTTTCCAAAATCTGAAATATTAAGTTAAAAAAAAAGAAAGTAATGAAGTGACTATAGGTACCTCCAACGATCCTACCAACGAGACTGAGATCCACAACATAATAGTTCAAAAAGTGAGCCAATTTTGATTTCAAAAGAAAAAGGAAAAAGTTCCCAGAAGATATAAAAATATTTCGGTAGTCTGCGAAAAATTACAAAAATTCGCAGACGTGAAACGTAGTGTTCTACTAAATTACACAGCAATCCAAAAAACGACTAACGTACACTACATGATGCATCAACCGGAGGCGCAGCAGTTTGTTGCAATTTCTCAACTGCTTTACGCAAAGAACGTATTTGTACGTAATCTGTTACAGCTGGAAGAAGCGATGCTTCGTTCGTATGAACAGGACATACTTCAATACACTGTTCATATAAATGCAAAGCCTCATCAAGTTGCTGTCTGAAAAAAGAAACAACAGTACGATGTAATCTTAAAGTGACTATACACTAAAAAATTATGTCATGATGAGTTGCACAGACGAAATCTCCATAAAATAAGTTGCACTAAATGACCAAGAATCCCATATGAACATCAAGATTCTCTCCCTTGATTTTCTTCTTACATATATATATATATATACATATATATGTACAAATACCACACGAACCTTTGAAATGCTATTTTTGCTAGAATAGCCAAGGCGTCCGGATTAGCCTTTTCTCTTTCCAAACATACCTTCATTTTTGACTCCAGCACGGCCATTTGATTCGGAGAACCCTCCATCTCTTCTGCTTCTACCATCCTGAAAGAAAAGAGAAAATCAGAAGCAGAAAAATAAAACAAAATAGAAAAAAAGAAAAACAACAGCAACGTATTTTCTTCTTTCTTTTACTTAAGAAGAACTATGCAGTATTTCAACCTAAAAATGTTCATAAAACTTACGCAAGATAAAACATTGGTGCAGCGTAATCAGGAATACTTTCAGCAGCTTTTTTAAATGAAGCTTTTGCCAAATCTTTATTTTGAGCTGCATAGTACAGCTGAAATAATTATTGCTGATAAACTGTTACAGAATGAAACAAATTCATCATGCATTGAAATGGCCAATTACTTCCAAGTAAACAAATGATGATTCTCTATTTAACTATAATATGAATCCCTGCAACAGCCCATGATACTTTAGTAAAACAAAAAAAGAGGAGCAAAGGCAAACTCGTCCAGTGATAAGGTAAAGCACTGGATCAGCATTTTCGTTCATTTGCAGGAGCTGATCAACTTTTGTCATACAAGCCATAGCACCGCCAACATCACCCACTGAAGCTTTCAAAGCCATTTTGCAGTTTGCCCTCATATGCCTCAAATAAAAACTACCCTGAATTATATAACAATCGACTTTTAAATATGAGAGTAAATGTCAGAACTACAAAAAAGCGAAAGGTCAAAAAGAACCAAGTAGACGATTAACAACCAACCAAAGGATGAATTCATCACAGTACAAAGTTAAAAAGCAGAAAAAACATACTTGACCAGATGATGCGTTGGATCAATTTTATTGAGCTGATCTAAATAATCAATTGCTTCTTGCAGCTGTCCATTTTCGGATAATAGCAAAGCGGCACCCAAATAAATATCAACATTCGTCCGATCAATTTCGACGGCACGGTTGAATTCACTGCAGCAATGAAATTAATTTTGATTACGTCGATTTTTACATCTAACACTTCCCAATCCCTACTTTTATGATTCGTTTCTAATCAGGATTCCGCTATATCGAGAAATATATGCACAAATTGGTGCAGTGAAAAGATAAAGTTCTACAAAAGGAAACGTAGCTAAACCATTTCCATTACCTATTCACCCTTCAGATTCACGAAAAATTTTTTCAGTGACCTGTAATAAAGATACAATAAAAAAATGGAATGAAGTTCACATTCCAGATATCACTCTTTATCTGGTAGTTGAATACTTGAATAAAAAAAAAAAAAAAAACGCACCTCTCAACATCGCTGCAGTGTTCAAGAATTTTCCAGGCTGCAAGCAAAATGTGATACATTGATCGAAAACGTTTATTAGTTATCTCACACTGAGAATCTTCATTCAATGTATTCCACATACTGTCAAAAGCAGCTAAGCGTTCTTTCAGTGACTGCAATAACAGGTAAAATTATATGGTACATCTCCAAGCCAGCGTTATGAAGAAGTAAAACAGACTCGATAAATCAGCGAGAGATGGCCACTGAATAGACGAGGTTGATGTATTTTACGAAATTAAATAATCGAGCATTGATGCAGTTATGGATAAAGATTTAAAATATCCGTGAGCTCTAACAAAGTAAAAACTGCCGGTTAGACTCCATTGAATTGCCAAAAGAGAAAAAAGCCATAAAATCCCCTGACGATGTTTTTTAATTTGATGAGAAATTTTGCGATGGGGAACGGAAACGATTTAAGAATTGACGACTTAAGAACAAGCATTAAATAAGCAAATACGTGATACTAACCATTACGTTTTCTTTCATCAAAGCAAAACGCGCTTGAAGTATGTAATCACGAAGAATAGAAGTAACATTTAAGTGATTTGGATCTGACTGCTGTACCAATAAATCATTCTCAATAAGAGGTATAACTTCCTCGTAATGTCTCTGTCGTATTGCTTCCAGTGCTTGGTCATACGGACTGTAAACGAAGAAATATGTATGAAATTAAGAACCTGTGCTGAAATAACGACTTTTTAATAAAGATGCATTTCCCTAAGCAACGACCAAGTAAACTTAGATGGCTCAAACCTTTTCTCAATCAAGTCCAATTTGACATGATTTTAAGAAACAATAGGTTTTTAAAAGGAGTAGTAGATAAAAAACTCCCACTGACTTCATCATCTGCTTTATATAAACAAACTCACTGCCTGATACCGAACACTGACATACAGAAATATAATATTTTAGTAAAAAGACCACACTGCACATGACTTATTAAACCAAAAACTGAAAAAAAATTAAACAGCTCCAAAGTAATGATAATATATAGCAATACATAGTGTTACCTTTATTCTTTCCTTCCACTGAAATTTCTTACTGAAGATTATTAACAACATCAACAAGCTAAATCATACCTAGAAGAATGAGATTCTTCTTTCAAATCACGTAATATTGGGTCATTGACATATGAACTACGCCACAACAGCACTAATTCATCTCTTACTGGTATGGACTCTCGCGTATTCTTCTGGAAATTTTAGAATATTTACATAATCATATCAGAGATAATTAAACCATGCACAAATGCAAGCATATCATAAGTTAATGACTGTTTTTATATCTACAAAAAAAAAATTGAAGAATAGAATTCATAAAGGGGAAACAAAACCTTACTACGTGTTCAACCAAATTGGCAGCAGCAAGTGCAACTGCACTATCAACATCCGTTTTAAGTGATTCTGAAGCTTCCGGATTCATAACGAATGCATACGTAAGATCTGCAAGAACTATGGATACCCATTTTTGAAGCAGATGACAGAAGAATGTAGCATGATGGTTTAGGATCAGAAAGCATAAAAGTCTTTTGTTGAAGAATGGAGCTAAAGGCCTTTTTTCTTTGGATAGTAAAATGTCTACCAAAAGGTGACAGAAAAACACGGCGCTAGTAGAAACGAAATGAAAATCTAGATACAGCAAAAAAAACCATCTAGTGCTTCCTCCGGTCTACTGAGTGATAGGTAAGCTTTTGCTCGTCGCACTACAGCCTTGAAATAAAGCGGGTCTAACCCCAATGCCTTCGTGCAATCCACAATTGACCGTGCCGGGTCTCCCTAAAATTCTACAAATTTTTCTATGAAATTCAAGTAATAAGAAACTAAAGATAATATGCAACATGCTGCTAAGGTATGCAGAACTGATAAAAAAAAAAGACCCCTACTTCCAGCATCAAAATTAATTAAAGTCAGAATCATAACCAGCACCAGTCTGTCATATGCAGCAGCCCGATTTTGATAGCATACAGCCAGATGATTTTTATATTCTGGTGGACAAAGACTGATGGCTTCCGTAAAAGCTTCAGCAGCTTTCTTATAAGAGCATTGCTTGAAATATTCATTGCCCCTATCCTTCACCTCCTTCGAACTTTGCATACCTGGAACATGATTTACGCTCTAAATCAACCTTTTTGTAGATTTACAGCTTAGAAGCACATACACACATAAAAAATTAACACTGTCCGACTACTTTCTAAGATACCTGGAAAAAGCACTGGACATGGAGCAACAGAAGCAGTTGGCCGAACATTGTTTTTAGAACCGTTGACTGCCTACAAAATAAAAAGTACTCAGATATGAAAATCCATTTCTTAATGATTGATGAATGAATAAACTTAAAATTGGAACTGTATAAGGAAGTGATGCTGTTGGTTGGTTTGCACCTTTTGTTTCTGCGCTATCTTGTCCTTGCTCATTCTAATCACTGATAGAAGTATGTGTGGCATTGTAAGCACTTGAATACAAGAGCAGTAATTAAGTAAACTTCCCATTTCTTCATTAAATCCTCACCACCATACTTCGTCACAGAAATTAAACTCGGAAATGATAATAACAAATAGCTAAAACACGAAAATATATGCAACTTAATTACAACGTTTTCTCGTTTGCACTACCGAAAATAGTATCTAAAAACTTCAGATAATTACAAAACTTACATTTCTGGTCTGTTTTCGAACATACCACCAAACAGCGGCACCACTTGCAATACATGCTCCACCAACAACGATCCACTTACCCCATCGCATACTGTCCCAACCCTTTGTCGTCATTGTTCTGTAATAGATACCTGTAGGGTTCAATCACTTGTCAACATCTTAAAAGTGGAAATTTAATAGAAATGATCATGCTCCATGATGAATAAACAGCAATTAGAGAATATCGTTCAGTACCATAAAACAGATACGCTTATCAGCATATAAGATGGCTCGTAAAATTAGCAGCACTCGTCAGAATCCACGCATGAAAACAGATTGATGATATGATCTAAGCGGGCTGCAATCACTCTGGATATCCCTGTAACTCGGACAGTTGGTTGCCTGCTATAAATAATCTATCAGTGTCGGGCAAGGAACAACCATAGCTGGGCGTTAGCTCTCCTCTTAGCTCATCACTTGCACACCTATATTAATTCCGGTATTTCCTCAGTTCCTACAACACTAAACTCTAACAACTCTTCACAGCAGCTATGGCTGTCAACCATAATGTCCTTCCCTTTCCCTTCCAATCTCTCCAACTTCTACGAGCACGCATATCTTATAAAATCTCTCAGTTGCTCCAGAAGTCAGAGAAAAGGTGTAATCTTAATATGAAACATTACAAGCAACAAACATATGCACAAGTATGACTTAAACGTGTAACGTGAGAAGCAACAAACATTAACAAACGCCCGCCAAATAAAAACTCCGCCTTTCTACCTAAATTTAACGATTGCCGCGTTTATACGAGTGACCAAAGATGGTAGTGAGAATGATGATCTGGTGGTGTCATGGATAGCTATTGGGGAATGAAATGAGGGAGTAGATGGATGTGTTCGCTTCGTATTGGTAGAAGTGATTGAGAGTGAACCGGGGAGAGTATTGTAGTTGAAGAGGACGTAAATATCGATGCAATTCTTAGTCAAAATTGGTAAGATGATATAATTACCAATGGCATTATCGCAATAGTTGAAAGAGTACTCATCTCATGCAAAGGTCAAACAGGCCATTAGCATGCTTTTGCACGAGAATATTGTTTCTAAGCATTGATGTGAGATGGCGTCTATATGAGCATAAGTCTCACACACTGCTATTTTTGCTACTAAGAAGATAGAAAATAATATGCCTATTACTGTAACGTTGTTCACTGCACATCCATCGTTTGCGTGAAGCACCATGAGGACTCAAAATACGAATAACCAGCAGTTATTCTTCGTTGCTACCATTTTACAGTGTCATATTTTGCGTATTATCGAATGTAGTGTATAACTGTTGGCAGAATGGATATGTTAATATTATGTGAAGCACGTTTGTTTCATGACAGCACCTCTTCATATTCCAGCACTTTTAAAAATGCACACATGAAATAAGTTACTTGCTCTCTTTTTCTGTCGAATTTACTCCATTATTTGATTTTTCTTGGTCCCTTCTAATGAATTACTGATAATAAAATGATCTTGTCAGATATGAAGAAATATTCACTGTACTCCATGATTTATAAATTAAGTTCCTTCATGATATAAAGTTTTTAGTTTTGTTTCCTCTTTGTTCTCGATTATCTTCCTACTCGTTTTTTAATGATGCAGTTCGTTGTACATGATTTTGTTATAATAAATCCATTTAATAACTATAACACTACAAACACAGATTGAAAGTGCACATCAGATGCAACAGAATATTTGAAGTAAAAGACAAATCATTTGCGCGAAGGATTATACTTTGAACGGAACGCGACTACACTATTACGAATGCTTACTGGATGTATGATTCTTCAAGCACAGAATATTTATAGTGAATGAACAAGAGACGATATCCACTGCTCAACCTATCCTTCAAGGGAAAGATTATAAAGATATTCTACTATAGGCAATTACATTATTTCATCTAAACGAAAAGATCATAACAGAGGCAGTACACGAAATAGAATTTTATTAAGCTCGAGTAATTTTGAATTTACCTACTTGCACATACAGTTAACAACAAATTTTCGTTATTGACTGCATGTGCAAGTAGGTAAATTAGCTCAGAACATTTGTTGTTTTTCGTAGCAGATACTATGTTTATGTAATTTGCATTATGCTACGAATCAACTATTCGATACCATAAAACCCTGATAAGCTGCTTCTAATTTTTCTAATCCTATGTTCCTCATAACTCCGTCTTTGTGGTTCTATCAACTTCGACAAGTCCGAAATCTCTTAAAAACATGTTAGCACAATTACGACCACCGATGGCGCTCATTTCGATAGTACTTGCTAACCATTCCACTGCATTCACGAAACAGATATTTTTCGCGATACGAAACTTAGGGCGATCGGCAGGATATTCCTTGTATTCCGGGTATGCGAGAAATGAAAGCTAAAAATTACACGCTAATCAAAAGAAAAACTTTCGGGAACTTCAAGATCGGGAAGGTTGAAATATACGTTTTTTCGATACGTTTTAAGCAATGCATTTCAAAAAGCAATAAAGTGAAGTGAAATATCGAATTATCTTACCCTTTTAACATTTTTGACTTCACTAAAGTAAAGCGATAACTCAGAGTCAGTTAGATTTTTACTCGAAAATAATTTCCATATTTTATTTGGACCTGTTTTCGGCAAGGACTCACTTTCTCGATAATCAGCAGGTAAAATCTGTCCTGAAACAACAAAAACTTTGAGTATGTGGAAATTGTCACGATTTTCTCATTATAAATAAACAAATAAAACTGCCTAATGAGTTGTATGACAAACTGTTGTTGCACACAATTACTGTGGTCAATATATCATTCTCAGACAGTGACCAGTGCGTTGCGCGTAATGACCCCTGCAAAAATTGAATCGCTGATGTGTGTATTTTTTGAGTAGTTTTTCCCATCCTATCCGCAGCAATGCGTACAAGAAAGGGTCACTTCTAAGGGTTCTAGAGCTTACACCGATAAGGATAAACAAGCATTTCACGTGACAACATCAGCAAGCGGTTTCGACATGTTGACTGCAAAACTGAGCAGAACTAAACAGTAAAATAAGAATAATTTAAAAAAGAACCTCTAAAAATGTTGCGATAATTTGTTTGAATTTGCCACGCTGGCCCTCCCAGTTCACACCTAAATGAAGAGCCTTAAGCTGCGCAAAAATCTCTCGTAATCACAATCCACTAAAAACATATTTAAAAAACAGTAAAGGCCTGAATAATCCTTCTTTGCCTTTTACCACGAAACCCGACTCATCCCAAAAGATAATTAATTGTATACAAGATGGATGAAAGAGAGTCCTTTGCGATAAAACAAAAACATGATAACCTTCTATCTGAATCTGCTGTTTTTGATGTAAGGGCACAGCAACAACTACATAATCGTAATTAGCACCAAGTCCCTGGCCATCACGTCCATAGAGCACAAATTGATTGTTCCGTTTGGAAATAATGGTCACTTTTGCACTGAAATAATAAAACTAGACCTCAGCATAGAGTACTACAAATAACATCCTTTTTTGACCATTAACTGTAATAGGTCAGCATTTCTGAAATTCCAAGTGAAGGAATGAAACGGCTACACTTAGGAACACCTACCTAATTAATTTAACTTTCGAATAGTCGATCAGTTTCTCAACAATAAGTTTATTCGAACCATTAACCGAGTAAAGCCCAGATGTACACCCAGCTAGTCCAACAAAACCCACAAATGCTGTGATCTCCTGTAAGGGATGAAGAGCGTACAGAAATTTGGTTCCAATCTCACACCAGCATGTTAATAGAATATACAATGAAGCAGACTGGAAAAGACAGATATTCATATATAACGGCACCAGTGATTTCATCATAAAATTTGAACCAATAGAAATTTGAAAGTTGAACCTTAACGGATTGCCCATAATTACAGTTAAGTGCTGCATTTGTGAATTCCACGATAAATGGATCATGATATTCATTCTCGGCAAGATGCTCTTCCATTGTCATATTTATCAATTTTGCAAGGTGGCTTGACATTGCCATTACCATCGCATCCACAGTATCAAACGACTTGCCCTGGCTAAGACAAAAAAGTATCCATCAATGACCTAATCAGCGAGTGAAATAAATCGAATGGTAGAATGTATGGTAAATATTAATCTATTTCAAAAAACAAACGTAAGCACTATCATTCGTTTCCAACACTAATACGAATAACAGCTAGTGAATTATTTTTATAAAGAAAAATTCATTGGATTTGAAAAACGATTTTTAGAATAGGAACAAATTTACTCCAGCACAGCATAAATGTTCTTGAAATCCGACAGGAGTTTGCTGATTTCAAGATAACTTTTCAACTGATCAAAACCGTATCTTCTCAACAGCCGATAAAACGTGATGAGATACCATGAACTTTCCAGAAAGACAAATTTCTCACCATTCCATATGCCCACAACATCGTTTTCATAAGGCTTGTTTTTGTGCAGTCCTATTAAATAAAATTTCAACTGAAGTAATTTTATACTCCCGTGATTAGAGAAAGATGACCAATATCAACGCTATGTGAGCTTTTTTTTAAAAAAGATTTCAGCCAAAAATTGCACAATGATAAAGGGAAGTATTAATGCTACAGTAAAAAATTTCAGCTGATTAAGTAATTATGATGAACAATGTCGTATAGCATTCAGAAGAGTCTAGAACTTTAAAGCACTTACTAAATTTTTCCATCCAATTTCTGAAATAAAGATTAGAAGGGTGTAAAACACTGCCACCGGCTTCAAACATGCGTACCTTGCCATTGTACGGCATCTGAACAGTTGTCAATCGTCCTAAAATATATTCCAGATACATCATAAAACTATAAGGCTGCATGTAGAAGTAATGTGAGTAAAAAGTTTTTTCGAGGAACTCAAACATCGCGACTTGCACACTTTTTTCTGCAACAATTAAATTTAGAAAATGCATTAAACTTGATTAAGCAATCAAATGCTGATGAATCAAACACAGCAGTAACCCATAGAACGTTTATAAATAAATTTATAGTTTATGACAAATATATGGCAGCATCGATTATGAATTAGCCTGAAGCATTGTCAGCGACCTATGTTTTGAAAGTAATGCACAAGATTTGCTTCACTGGAAAAAGAGTGCAACAAAAAAGAGAATACCTCCAATACTACCCTGATTAAATAAGTGAATCTCAATGTTGGCTTCCAATGGTGCAAGTGATCGCAAAAAATATGCAGAAGATGCACCGCCAATGCCTCCACCGATAACTGCTGAAAAAGAAAGACAAGAAAAAAATCTATAAAATTTAAACAAATTCAATAAGAATTATTTATTCATGCACATGAGAAATTTTCTTCGAAGATAATGAAAATATTATAGCTAAACATCCACAATGAGCTGAAAATTACATTTCAAACATAACTCTCTTTAAAATGACATAATTTCAAAAAAAAACTTACCGATCCTAAAACCTATCCCCGAGGAAAATATCGAAAAGACAACAAGCACTGGTAATAATGAGAACATCTAGAAACGGATATCAGTTTATCCCACTGATATCTCGAGAACATCAGACACACGATTCTTAAAAAAATTTTCAGAAAACTGTGATTCCGGGGTTGTAAAGACACGGCCGTTCAACAGTTTTGTTCTACCTTTTTTTATCAGCAAATTGAAGAACATAAATCGGCCGCACATAAGTTTGAAAAAGATCAAACTAATAAATTCTCCATTTCAGAAATAAAGGTTACTTCAAATCAGAACCATCGAGAATTCTGGTGAATTATGTTGGTTATCTGGCTGCAACTCGTAGTCTGCCATATACAGATTTCTGTAAGCAGCCTCAAAATGCTGCTCGTGAAATACCCTACTTGATTTACCTCCCTCTTTAATTTACCTTTCAGTTGAACGAACCGCCTAGTTTGAACGACTACGATTGCCGCTCCTTGGTTATATCCCAACCTCTTCATGCTCCTATCTCTGCTCATTATTGATCCTGTATGTTAGGGATAGTCTTTTTATTCAATTCAGCTGTTATTGCGCATCAGTTACTAACAATAATCACCAATATATCAGGCGATAAGTTTTCCATTGCTAAAGTCAGTTGTTTCTGAATATTTCTTAACTCATTCAATCTCTTTTCCATCGCGAGGCGGAAATTAGTTACAGCTTGGATGGTAGTGAAGCAAGATGGAACAGATTTTGAAAACTTCTAATGAACCGAGAAAGTTTTACCACACATCTAGCTATTCGAACTTACAAGTCAGCGAAGAAATGGGTATTACAAGCTCTTTTCAAGAAGAAATCGGAAAACCGAAACACCTAACCCCATAAACGTCTTTCATCGAACCGCCCCCCATCCTCCAACTTTTCTTTAGCACAACCAGCTTAGCACATTGCAACTATGACTGGCACAGTTTGAAAATATTTGGGAAACATTTACGGTATGATTAAATGGACTTAGTGTAACGCCAAATTGAAGTAAATGAAGAAAGCTTGGAAAGGATTTCTACCACAAGCGGAGACACATTCGACGAATATTTCATCCAAAATTCAACCTGTTTCTTCCATTTTTTTTTTCTCCTTTATGGGTTGTTTGAAGCAACAAAGGGACCTTTCTACAACAATCAAAGTGATATCTGACTTTCTTTTTCCACCATTCTCCGAGGGTGACCTTTCGCAATTAAATTAATTCTCTAAAAGGATGACCGGATGAAGTCCAGAGGAACTGGTAAAAAAGATGGATCCTGTCCACAAGAGAATCAGTTTGATACAGCTTTTTACAATAAATTATGTACCTTTTAAAATGAACTGCAGTGTTAGTAGTAGGAAGTTGAACTTTGTAAATCCTCGTTTCACGACTACTAGTAGCTTCTACTTACAGCCAAATACTCATTGTAACTTTAAGAAATATGCGTTCTGGTCCTGAATGTTCCCTGTGATCCGGCTGTGTTGTAATGAAGCAGATGAAATTTAAAGTTGAACAGTGTGTTTTCTGAGTTTGTTCATTTTTCCTTCCTTCTTTTTAATTTGCACCAAGAAAAAAGGAAAGTGAAATGCAATAAGAAAAAATCATTTCAAGCTAATTTGATTTTTTTTTCTAACTTTATAGATCATCCAGGTGGAATGAAATGAGAAATCTTCAGGTAACACGATGAAATAAATTAAAGTAAGGACTAGGTAGTGTTAGTTATGATTATTTATGAGCGTGTGTTGTGCGTGTCTGTGTGTGTGTGTGCGTGTGTGTGTGTGTGTGTGTGTGTGTTATATATATATAAGATACGCATTGACATATTACATGTATTAGTGAAAAAATTTTGACAGATGGATAAGGAGCTATGGATAAATTCCATTATATTTATTACTAGCAACCACATACAATTAACAATGGAAAGAAATGCTAAGCAATAATGGGTGTAGTTTTTTTTTTTTTTTTTTTCTAAATGCTGGATGCTATTTTCTAAACGAAATGGCCAAGAAGAAGGTGAAATGTTGTTAGACGCCTGTTCACTGATACTTTCACTAAAATTATCGATATCACACTTTGAAGGAGAGGAAATGTAAGAGAACTGAAGAGCAGGAAGTTGTTGGATTTCATATTGATAAGATGAAAACAATGTATATTTGTTGCGAGAACTAACACTTTATTTACTTAATATCCAGCATGCCCGTCCAACAAGCAAATGATTTACTGCAAGTTTTTTTCTTTTTTTTTTTTATATTAAGAATTCAAGTCCACGTCAACCCTAATCCTATCTATGCATATCATTTGCCTTCTCAACACATATCTTTGTATGTATTATTATCGTTTCGAAAAGTGCAGATGTTCGTAATTTATAAAGGCTGCAAAAAAATTAATTGATTCAAAGCTTTTCTGCTCATAATTTATAAATCTATCCTGATCATTAATTACACTATAAATCCATCCTGGTCGTTAATACACATTAACTTTGGTTTTAATTGTTTCTTATTGTTCTTACTTTGTAATGTAAAATGTTTAAACAAAAATTTGAACGTTTTGAATTTCAGATTTCAAATTTAAAGTCGCTATTTTAGTTGATTTAGAAAAATACACCATCAACGCTTTGCTATACTTCAAACAATAAAAAAAGTGCGTTTCGATGACCATTAATTTTTTCCAAAAATTTGCCAGCAAAAGACCTTATTTGACTTCTTTGGATTTTTTTTCGGTTATATCGTTATTATATGCTTTGATTGCCAATGTGGCCTTATTACAGTCTAATGAAGTGTGAGCATTTTAAAATATTTATTCCATCACTTGAGAGCTAAATAATCACCAATATATTCATTTTATAACCTTTTCTCAGCTAAGAAGAATTGCCTTACATTATCTTCCTTCCATTTCCATTCTTTATTATCCACAACTTTCAATAGAATATTCCATCATTGATTCAAAAATATTCAATGCAAAATCGATGTCAACTCGCCCATTCATTTCTCTGGTATTTCAGTGCACTTTCTAACTGACTATCAATTGGACAAGTCCACAATTATTAAATAGGTTCTTCATTAATCTGTTTAAAAAAATTTCACAAGAAAAAAAAAGGAAATTAATTTACTTGTTTGCATATGTATGTGTGTATATGTGTATATGTGTATGTATGAGAAGGTATGGCGTGATGAATTATTCTAAAAATACTTTTTTTATTCATGCAACAGGCATAAACCACTGTGAATATTGCACTGTGGCAGCAAAGTGTATGCGATTGGCAAACAGCTTTGTTAAAAAGAAAAATTCACTAGATAGTGCGTGGGATGTAATATTTGCAAA